ATTTGCTCCAATTTAAAATTTGGGCAATAGTTAACTTGGGGCACCATAGTCCTGATAACTATATTTGCCCCAAATTTAAATTAAGGCTAATATAGTAAGACTTTAAGTTAACTATTATTTTTCTATAAAATTAAAAATCTTAATTTCACTCTATACATTTATTTATATTGTTGCAATTTTTTAATTAATTTTTTTTTAATCACTTAATTATTTAACATTTGAATCTTTTATTTTATATTTTAGTTGTTAATGTTTAAATGTTTAATATGTCATAAAATTTATCTTAAATTTTTGCAATAGAAAACTTTATTTAAATTCCAAAATAAACAAATTATAATATCTTTATTATTGTAAATTTATAAATCTTTAATTATTATAAAGAAGGATTATGACATGTTTTACCAGGATGACATCTAATATTACAAGACAAATTTAATTTCTTACATGCACATTTCATAGTACTACAATTTGTATTAGGGTATTTGCATTTAACTGAATTTACATTACTTTGTAATCTAACTGCTTCTGTACCTTGTTTGGAATATTTGTTAATTCAGCCATTGAAGTTAATTCAGTTGATTCCAAACAATTTCCCTTATAGTTTACATTTAATGTTCCAGCAAAACATCCCAAATTGTAAAAGCCTTTAGGTTTAACTTTTAAAATCTTACAAGGTAAATGACTGCGTCCTAATTTTCCTTTATCTGCCTTTGGAATTTTAAGATTAACAATATCGCCAACCTTAAATATATCTTTCTTTTTAACTTTTTTCTCCATTAATATTTTCATATCATCTCTATATTTTTTGTTATTCATTTTTGCATCATCGCGAATATAATCATGAGATGATATAGTTTCTTTATGTGATGTTGAAGATGTTGAAGCTCCATTTGTTTCAGACTAAAAAAATAACAATAAATAAAAATAATTAATTAAATATAAATTAAATATAATAATTAAAAAATAGAAATTATTACAACTCACATTTTGTACATTATCTAGTTCATCAAGCCACTTGTTGAATTTTTTTTCCCAAATATTTAATAAAATATTATCAAATGAATTTGTTTCGCGCATTACTTTTAAATCACGTAAAAATGCTAAGATGTCTCTTTTCATTACGCCTAATCTTAATTTATTACTATATCCAAACATGCCTTCCCATGATGCATTAATTTCTTCCCAAGTGATATTATTAATTTGTGGAGGTTTTAATTGAAATAATGTGCTTGAATCAACATTAGATACTCGCTTAGGTTTAGGTTGCTTTATTAGTACAAATTGAAAAAAAAGTTTATTAAAATAAATGAAAAATTTAATCAAGAATATAACTTTTTTGTTTACCTTCTTAATATTTTTATTTTTGTCAAAATTGCTATTAAGATCGCTAAAATCTTCAGAATTTTCATCAAAATCATCAGAATCTTCGTTAAGATCATCAGAATCTTCATTAAGATTATTAGAATCTTTGTTAAAATCATCAGAATCTTCGTTAGAATCATCAGAATCTTCATTAAATATATCAGAATCTTTGTTAAGATCATTATTATAATGATCTGATTCTTTATTTTGATTATTATCAATAGCAAAAGTTACTTGCTTTTGTTTACCTTTATTTTTAGAATTCTTATTCAATGACTGCATAAAATTACAAACCAATTTTTTAATATATTAAAATAATTTGATATAAAATATTGTGATTAAATATATTACAGTTAACTACCTTTGTATTTCTATTTTTATTCTGATGTTTATCATAAATAGAATTACTATTATTATCTTCATTTTCGTCATTTTTCTATATTATATATTGTAATTTTTTTTAAAAAAATTATTTTATTATAAACAAATTTAAAGACTCTTTTATTATATTTACTTCTTCAAAGTCAAGTGAAGTATCTTCTTGTTCTACATTAATATTTTCTAATAATTGCTCTTCATCTATACAATTTTCATCTTTAAATAGATGTTCCATCCAAGCTATATCACTTTCTTTCTACATCAATAATAAAAGTCTGCATCCCGTAATGTAGAAACAGGATCTAAAAGAACTGTTTTTATTTCATCATAAAGGCGTCTATTTATAAATTGCTTTTCGGATGTTTTAGATTTACTGTTTTGTATAAATTTATCAATAATTTTATTAAAAGTATCTTTACTAATAAAAGAAAATTCTTCTGTTTCCATAATAAAAAAATTTTTTTAAAAAATTTTAGGGTGGAGAGACGTCAGAGACGCGAAAAAAAAAAGATTGATAAAAAAAGAGATTAGTTTGTTTCACAAACAAATTGAAAGCCAATGATTTTTGATGATCATATGAGTAACATGATCAAAAATCAAAATTTTGGGCAATAAAATGTCTGTGCCCCATTTTGAAATTTCAAGTTGGATTGCCCAAAATTGAAATTTCAATTTCGGGCAAAATGAAGTTGCCCCAATTTCAAATTGGGCAGATCGCAACTTTGGGCACAACAACTATATCAGATATAATTAATATAATGTGATATTATGAATGATATTTATGCTTTAGTCTAATAAAAAATCAGTATATCGATCCTATTGCTGCCAACTAGTCATAAGTGTCGATTCTGATATTATGTTTATTATTATAATATTTTTTTAGTATAGTTCTTGAAGTTTATAAATAATCATAACCATTTAAATGACTTTAATAACAGGAATCGGTCAGTCATTGGTAATTTTTATATTCATGCCAGATCTACTCGTAATAAACCTTTTATACCATTTTATTGGTTTGAGAAACACTGCTACATTCACGTGACTTATTTCCCTCCTCAGTGCCTAACAATTACTGTATTACATAGCTAAAATTTTGTGATTTTTGAGTGGGGGATTTTCGTGCATTAATAACCAAATGAAATAAACTATATATAATTGTGAGATTTTAACATGTAAACAATCTTTTTAAATACCTTTTATTTCAGTCTTGAACAAATTAAGACTAGCTGAATCGTTTGAAAAAACGGTCTTATAGTCTATGGCGCAGCTGATTTATTTATTTTATCCTTGCAGATCTTACATAATTGTTATTTTGGTCAAAGACCATCAAATAACTGAGTTATAGTTCGGTCATTAGGATTACTGCGGTGACCAATAGGAATTAAATGCTACTAATAACGATTTCAATATTGATTGTCTCATAAAAATATCGGTCATTAAAATACTGCATACTCCTAATTGACTGAACAATAACTCATATTACTATGTATTTAGCATAATAATAAAATTATTGGATAGTTTATTATAAAAATTGCACTCATGAGCGGTATATTATTATTACTATTTACTGGTAAAAAAATGGTCTATCCTACACATATCCTACACATATCTTACATATATCGGGTACTCAAAATGTAGAAAATCATACACAAATAATACACATATCATACACATATCGGGTACTTATATATCTGGTATACCTATCAGGTACCTGATATATGTATGATATATATATTAGTACCCGATATGTGTATGATATGTGTATTATTTGTGTATGATTTTCTACATTTTAAGTACCCAATATGTGTAAGATATGTGTAGGATAAATCATTTTTTTACCAGTGATTGCCAAATAAGTAATGTCGCTTTAGACTATTATTTGAGTTTTAAATCATCCAATAATATATAAATTTAAAATTATATATGCTCAAAAATCATAAGATCGTGTGAACCGATTCACAGAGTTCTAACAGTACCAATCCAACCTTAATCTTTAATCTTCATTGAATACATCATCTAATTTCTTTGATAAATTGTTAACTTACGCTGTTTGAATTGGAAATTTAGATTCAATTCTCGATTTCGTAAGATGGTAAAGCCAAATTCTAGTTTCTAAATGATCAGCGTTTTAAAAAAAAATGTTCAGAATGTCCATACGTTAAATTTATGGAAAAAAAATGCTCATATCTAAACAAGTTCATAACGTGAGAAATTTCACATCGCACAAGAGTTACTACACTTTATTTTTTTTTCCAGTCTGTGTTACATACAAAAAGCCACATTAGTCAAATTCGACTGAAAAATTACGTAACGTAATTCACTTTTTTTAATAAATACCCTGAGAATTCATCGGAGAATCAAAAAATCTAATGAGTAATGATAAAACTACTGATAAATTACTTTTTTACTATGCTTATTAATTTTTTGCTGTATTACGTCACAACAAGCCACCAAAAGTTTATGCAAGAGTCTATCAGTCACAATGTATCCAGAAAAGTATATAAAGTATATATATACCTTAGACTTCTCTCAAACTTTCTCAAATTTTTCTAAACTACTACTCGCTTTTAACAGGAACAAAATGGTATTATCACTCAATTGTTTGATTCTAGGACAAACTTCCAATAAATGTTTCACTGAAGAAATAGGCCAAACATATAGCGATGATAGTAAAGTTGAAGTCGAGTTTTCCAATTTTAAAGTTTAACACTTCAAAGAGAAGCTCATTCGTGAGCAGATCATAAAAGATGTAATTCAAGATAAAAATAAAATGGACCTTTGGAAAGTTAACAGTCAGAAGGTTGATGAAGAAGAAAACAACCTTCAAAAATTTACTGAAAGTGACATCAAAGATAAACTCGGAGGCGAAGAGATGAACCCTCGATACCTGTTTAGTAAATATTTTAAAGTTGATCAAATGGATATTTGAGGCATTCATATTTTCGTAGTTCCCACTTCCACTGGTAAGTGTCTCCCAATTTTTTACCTCTCGAACAAGGAAATTGCAGTAACAAAATATTGATTTGGTCTGATCTCCTTTTTTCGCGTTAAAAATAGGTCCTTCTCAGCAAGGCATTTCAAAAGGTACATTATCTTTTTTCTGTAATTAGCTAAAAAGATTTCTTGATAATAGTATTCATTTTATTACTGTTTGTAACTTTTCAGTGACTACTATTTTCGAAGAATTTCTCAACAGCAAACACGGTGAATTTCTCAAAAAATACATAGAGAAAAATGATCCGTTGCCATCATACGAATCACGAATACAACTTAAATCAATTGTACCTGCTTCTTTTACGGGTGGACACCCTACACTCTTAAAGTACAATCTCCCCAAAAGTAATGAAAATCATGAACCAATTACCCAGGTTTCAAATGTTCAGTTTGCAATTGCAGAAGCCAAGAACAATTTATTGATTTTTTTAGGAACATCTGGATGTGGAAAAATGAGGACTTGTTATGAATTACTTTGTGAGAACTGGGGGCTTTATTTTGTCGCGTCTAGGAAAGAAAATGGAGGTTTAGCTGATATCGAGAAAATCCAAACTTATCTTGAAACAAAAATGACTAAGGTTGCTTGTCTAAACCTCTTCAAAATCCTACGATTAGTTTCGTCAAAATTTTACTATAGATTTATTATAGTTTCGGCAGAGTTTCGGCAGTTTCGGCATTTATAATAAGTTTCAGCAGTTTCGCCATTCTCCAAAGTTTCGCCAGTTTTTTAATATAACTTTAATATAGTTTCGGCAGAATTTCGCTTTTCGGCAAAACGCCATCTTGCCTAAACCCCTAGGTTTCGGCAAGCAACCTTAAAAATGACAGAAGATTTTGAACAAAACTGCAAAAGTGCATTAGGAATTATGCGTTCTGCAATTCTCTCCCGACTTCTTATACTAAACTATTGTTTGGAGAATGCACCTACTACATTCAATAAACAGCGTTGGCTTCTAATACAAACTTGTCAAGATATATTTGGAAAGCTTTATGATTATGATGATGATATGTTTGTTGCCCTTATGTGGGAACTCAATACTTGCACACCAGAGTCTGTAATTACTTTCATTGATAAGACATATAAAAAAATTCCAAATAATAACAAAACGTTTGTCATTATTCTTGATAAAACTCAAGTACTCGAAACGGTATTTAAGGGAAAGTTTAAATCGCGAACAGGTGAACAGAAATGCTCACTCTTGTCTCTCATAATTCAAGCACTGAGAGAACCAGCAGTAAAAATAGTTAATTATTGTGTCATTCTGTGTGGTTCTGGACTCGGAATTCTTTCTCTTGAGGATGTTCTTATTACAGGAGTTTCGAAACCAGATACTGAGATATCTAAATTTACAGAGTTTGGAGGGTGGCAGAATATTGATCATGTGAAGAACTATGTTAATAATCTTGTGAGTTTGACAGACAATGAATATAACTGTCTTTATAAACACTTTCGTGGCCGATTTTGTCCCATTGTTACCTGTGTAGAAGAGATTATTATGGGTGTTCCAGCTCAAAATGTTATTAATGTACATTGGAAGGTCTTAACAAAGGCTAGTAACAATGATCAATCACTATATAACCAGCTATGTAGGATCACTGGGATGGAAAGACCTAATCATGTGCTGTCAACTAATATTCTTAATTTGTATAAAAGCGTAATAGGACCCCGAGCAATATATATATAGGTAACAAGAAAGGTCAAAATTTTTATAATAGCTCTAAGCAAGATTTTTATTAAGATAAATAAGCAAACTCAACATGTGACTTCACAAATTGCCCAAAAATAAGCAATCTAACCATATGACTTTATAATATTATATTTTACAAAAATTATTTGATCAAATTTTCTCGCATTTATGATTTACAATTTCACTTTTTTCAATAGTAATATCATTTTAGCTAAAATATCCGTCTTA